ACAGGGAGAGGCAGAGAGAGAAATGGAGAAGGGACAGGAGAGAGAGACTGTGGAGGAGATGGAGACGCAGAGACAGAGAGAGAAATGGTGAAGAGACAGGAGAGACAGAGAGAGAGAGAGAGATGGAGAGGCAGCTAGAGATAGAGGCAGAGAGAGTAAAATAGAGAAGGCACAGGAGAGAGAGGGAGGGAGAGAGTGGAGGAGATGGAGAGGCAGAGAGAGACACGGAGAGAGGGGGGGAGAGAGACAGTGAGAGGAGGCAACGGAAGGTAAGGGGAGAGAAGGCAAAAATCTGGGAGTGGGAGTCAGAGAAGCAGACTGAGCCAGGAAGAGAGAGAGAGGGAGAGAGGGGCCAGAAAAACTGACACAGACAGAGAGGCTGATAGAGAACTGGGGGAGAGAGAGGAAGGGGGACAGAAACCTAGTGGGAGGTGGAGAGACAGATTGAGATCTAGAGAGAGACAGACTGAGAGACAGAAACAAACAGATGGGCACAGAGAGAGATACCAGTGATAGGATGAGATGGAGAGATAGAAAGAGAGAGAGAGAGAGATAGAGGCAGGCAGTCGTCGTCTATCGGGAGGAGGTGAGGGTGTGACTGTGAGGGTGCGGGAGGTAGTTCACATGGAGAAGCATGCAGCCTCCTGTAGTCGATGAGCTGCCTCACACCACTGCCTTGCTCGAACGTCGAGCAATCCTCTCCCTGCAGCCCCAGTCCCCTGCCCTGCACCATCGCTCCGTACTGTGTGTCTGTATGTGTCAGGCCGAATTTAATTGTTAATGGCATCACTCCAGAGAGATGGGAAAATCAAAACAACACTCAGAACAGATGGTGAGTGACTCATTTCCCACGTTATCAAATCTGCACAGTTTGCATTTACAATAGATTATTGCACAGCCCTTCAGTGTTATAGATTTACACATAAAGGCTAAAGCTCCCTCTACACTGTCCCCCACATCAAACACTCCCAGGACAGGGACAGCACGGGGTTAGATACAGAGTAAAGCTCTCTCTACATTGTCCCCCCATCAAACACTCCCAGGACAGGGACAGCACGGGGTTAGATACAGAGTAAAGCTCTCTCTACA